GTCACAGTGAGGCAAGTGTCAAGGAAAGGTGACCTTCTGGCATATTAGCACATTACTGAATAGGGGTAAAGCTGAAGGACCTACTTGCTTCAAAGCATGATCTTTTATTCCTGACACGTCCATGCTGTGTCCCTCTTACTACAGGGAGTAAGGCAAGGGGACAGCTGGAGCTGAGTGGAGTGACTCAGGAAGCCCATTGGAGATGGTCCTCAGTGCAGGGTTAAGGCCTCTGCAGAGGGTCTGATTGGAAGCTGCAGGGTTGGGACAGGGAACTTTTGGAGCAGAAAAGAGAAATGAGATGGTGTGTGAACTAGAAATGGAAAAGCAACGGACAGCTTGCTGTGATCAGGGACAAGATCAGGAACAAGAAATAAATACGTAATGGATGAACTTACAGAGTGGCAACTTTTTGTTCTTCACAGGGCATTTTAAGAGAATTCCTGTGAAGGTGTTTTCGAGACTATAATCTTCAATGTCCCTTCTTGCTTGAATCCCAGTTCTATGATGTGTTACACCATTCGCTAACAGGGAAATAGGAAAGCCAAAGGATGTGAAGGTCCTAGACCTCCTCACAGACAGACAGACAGACAGACAGAAGCACAAAGAATCAAACCCTAGCAGGCTGGTCTACCAGAGCTCTCTGTCCACTACAAAGGACTGTGCTCACACCTCTCCAGGCTCGTTTTTCCTGGGATCTCTTTTGGCTAGGGCCCTACATAATATCACTATGCTTCAAAAGGAGCATTGGTCAATAGTCTATCCTTCAGAAGAGCCAAAGCACATGGTCTAGGAAATAAGCCCTTTGGGGGGGGGAGTGGGTAGGAGGTTAAACATTCTGTAGAATCCACAGAACTTACCCCACATCTGTGGGCACAGCAGCCCCCTCCACCTCCTCTCAACAGCATTAGCGCTGGCACCATAACCTGTGGCAAAATAAAATAAAACAAAAATAAAAACTCTTGTAATGAAGGGAATATTACCTTTTAGGAACAAGATTTCGACTGTGTCTCTAGTTATTAAAAATGTCTAATGATTCCTCATTGTCTGAAGAATAGTGCATAGTCCCTGGACTTTGTGTACATGAGCCTTTCATGGTCTCACCTCTCCTCCATCACTTAGACCTCCTGACACACCAGTTTATGGCCTCCCAGATAGACCCAGGACTTTCCTGCTTTGGGGCCTTGAGTATGCCTTTCACCCTTGGCCATCAGGTAAATTCATCTTCACCCGCAAAAGGTTAGTTTAGATGTTATATCCTGTGGTAGGCTGAACAAATGCCCCCCTCCCAACCCCAAAGATATATTCACTTCCTAATCCTGGGACCTGTGATATTACCATATATAACTAATGATGTTGTTAAACTGGGGTCTTACCAGGAGTTTATCCTGGGTGGGCCCTAAATACGATCACATGCAGAAGGAGCTTTGAGAGACCAGCACAGAGGGGAAGGCAGAGGCAGAGACTGTGAAGATAGAGGTGGAGGCTGGAGTGATGCAGCCACAAGTCAAGGAATGCCAGCAGCCACCAGAAGCTGGGAAAGGCAGGGGATGGATTGCCCCCTAGAACACAGAACATGGGGCTCTGCCAACACATTCAGTTAGAACTCTGGCCTTAAGAACTGTGAGAGAATAAGTTTCTGATGCTTTAAGCCGCCAGGTTTGTGGTAATCGATTATAGCAGCCATGAGGCACCACATGCCCTGTTTGTAGTTTTCAGTGGCCCCCCCACCAGTTAAAGTGAATGGTTCCTTCCTTCCCACCACTCTGTCCCATTGCACCGAGTCTGCTTCATTCTCCTCCTGTTGGGCTCTGAGCTCTGGGGGCAGCAGCTCTTACCCCAGTCCCCCACACAGAATCAGACCCAAGGACCCAGAGTGGTAAAATTTGTGATGACACTTCCCCCTGTTTCTTCTGGCAGTGTGGGGTAGGAGAAAGGGTACAGGCATGCTAGGACCATGAGCCAGGAACAAGAAATAGATACATAGTGGATGAACTTGACTTAATGGAAAAAATCACCTTACCCTGAGAAAGGGTTGGTACGTGTTTGCTGATACAAGCATCTGAAAGATCCCCAGCCCCCATCCTCATCAAGATGACTAAGACATATCTTGGAGAAAATACGATTGGTCTGTGGTTGATGCTGAAGATGATAGTCTGAGGCTGGGTGTGCGAAGATGAGGGTGCAAACTCATTTGACTTTAGAGACACTGCAGGTAATTTTAAGTAAAAAAGTGTGTCCTGGTAGAATATACTAGGGAGTGGTGGGGACTGTGGAGAACTGGAAGGTGCATACCCCTCCCCAGAGTATCCAAGTCACTGTAAAGCAAAATATGCAGACACGGCACTAAACTCCCAACTGGTGTGTAAGTTTTGTGAACCCTTGATGAGAGCAGGGGTATTGACAATGGCCTCTAGTAAAAGGAGAACCACAGGATTTGACAGTGTGCATCTACTGTGCTGGAGAAGAGTGTGCTGAGTTTTCCTGATTATCAGCTCTCTCTTTATAGTGCAAGTGGGTGTATCTGACTCCACAGCACTAGGTGCAAGGATGGTTTGACCTCCCCTTGCTCTGATTCTCTTATGGCTGACATTGAATGAACAGTAGCTAGGAGCCAGACTTGGGACTGGGTGCTCTCTACGTGATCTTATACAAGGCTCACCGTAACCGTAGCAGATGGCGATTATTGATATCCCCATTTTACAGAGATTTTAGAGAGATGCAGCGCCGTGCCTAAGAGCTCACAGCTCAAATACACCCTCTTCTCTCCAACACCATGGCCATTGCCTTAGTTTGTTCCAGAGCCAGGCACATAGAGGGGACATGAAAGACTGATGGAAAAAAAGAAGAGAAAGAGGGACTGGCTCTCTGTGTTTTAACTTTATGCAGCTTCATGGACTGGTTCTGTCCTGTTTATGTTAACCCTAGTTCACTGGGAATATACAAATGCAACCATTTTCCCAGGAGTTCCAGAAGGTTGTGTTGGAAAGCTAGAGCGAGGGTTGGACAAGCCCATGGGGTTGAGGGATGCTGTGGAGACAGGGTGTCAGGTCCCTGATTGAGCCGGGCTCCCTCTGTTTCCCTCCTGATCACAGAATGTTTTCCCTCTGAGTCACTCTCTTCAAATACATGTTCTGAGATTTTGCTATTAGGAAACGAGGATCTCAAGCTGCCTGATTCCTTTCAATAGTCACTGTATTTGCTCATTTATATTTTGAGAGAAGTTGGGTGTTGATGTTCCTATATAGTATACAGTTGAAGAGAGTGAATTTAGGAATTTGCTTAGTGGTCGAGCTGAGAAATGGGAATCTATGGTGCAGAAATAAGTAGTGACGATAAGAGGCAGGAGACAAGCACTGGTGGGTCCACAGACAAGGTGGAAGAGCTGGGAACCTGAACCAGGAAAGAGGACAGATTGCATTTTACTGTTGCCAGGGATGTGGGGGCACCTACATACATGCAGCTCAGGGAGGTCACACAGTGGGTCAGGGCAGACTCATCTGAGCAGGGTCTGTTAAACTCTTAGGCCTGTGCTGCCCCTTAGGAAGGGATGTGAGCTGAGAAACAGTCAACTTTGGCCCAGGTATTGCTGGTATAGATGTTCTCTTGTTCAGGAAGGTTCAGCCACTGCCATGGATGGGATGGGTGGGCAGTCAAAGGATGCACCTTGAGACATCAATATGTCTAATACTGTGTGGGGAGAAAAAGCAGGAAGGGAGGTGGTCCCCTTTTTTTGAGGCTTCTTTATGCCCCATACATTCATCCATTTATCAAGTGCTTACTCAGTGCCTGGCATTAGGGTCTCACATAATCAAACAGTCTTTTCAAAAGGGACTACTGGCCCGGCTGGGCGTGGCTCAGTGGTTGAGCATCTACCTAGGATCCAGGCGATTGGGGTTCGTATTCCTGGTCAGGGGCACATGCCCAGGTTGCAGGCTCGATCCCCAGTTGGGGGCCTGCAGGAGGCAGCCGGTCAATGACTCTCATCATTGATGTTTCTATCTCTCTCTCTCCTTCTCCTTTCCTCTCTGAAATCAATAAAGATATATTAAAAACAACAAAAAAAGGGACTACTGGGAGAGGAGGAACCAAATGAAAACAAAGGTGGAAAGGAAGGAAAACTTGGTGTCTACCTCAGAGGGTAACAGACTAAAACCTGTGGGCTAAATCTAGCAAGTTGTCTGTTTTATAAGTAAAGTTTTATTGGAATATAGCCACACCCATTTGCTTAAATATTGTCTATGGCTGTGTTTGCCCCAGGATGACAGAGCTGAGTAGTTGAAACAAGAGACCACATTGCTGGCAAAGCTGGAAATTTTTACCATCTGGCCTTTTACAGAAAAAGTTTGTTAATCCCTTAATTATGCCTAAGGAAGCCTTGATGGGAGTGACATCATTTATATTTCAAGATGGTAATCTTGAAACCTGATGAACTTGACAAATACTCAGTTATTTTGCTTTTTATAAAGTGTATCTTTCATGCAATTAACAACCACATATTAAGCTCTAGTCTCAGCCCACACTTTTATAGGTAGGTACCTAGAGGCAAAGGTTAATGAGATTTGGACTCTGTTCTGGAGGAGCTCACAGCCTAAAAGGGGAATTGGGGACATAAAAAGATGCTTGCAGTGTGATGTGTCAGGCACAGTGTGGAAACTGGTTATGTATCACATGTTGTGGGTGCAGAAGAGAGGCAGCCAGCCATGCTCCGGGGGCCCAGGGAAGGTGGCCCCAAGATGAGACAATTGCTCTATGACTAGCAGGGTGTTTGGGGGCACCCTTCACCTGGAGGAGGTAAACTAGCTAAACCTCATTCTTACCAAGAGTCCAGCTCCAAGAAAGCCGTGGAAAAACCAGACCAAGTCTGTGATCTTGGCAGGCTCCAGCACCTGCCCATTGGGAAAGTACAGCAGGAGGTTGGCGATGATGGCAGCAGTGGCCAGGGGCAAGAGCAGCATGCCCGTGTACCTGGAGCTGGTCTCAGAGCACATGGTGACTCCTCCCTGGAAGAGAGAGAGAAAGCAACCAGGAAGCTTTGGAATCAGGAGGAATCAAGAAAGAGTGCACCCGCCAGACACAGAGGCCCAAGAGCAAAGTGCCACGCCCACCTTCCCACCTTTACCACTGATAGACGGTGTGACCTGAGAAGCCACGCCACATCTCTGAGCCTCAGTTTCCTCTGAAAAGCAGAGAAAAGATCGACCTCTTAGATGGTGGTGTATGGACCAAAGGAAGTAAAATCCATGTGAAAGCAGCTGGCTCATAGTAGATGTCCCATAGGTTTTCTTTAAAGGACTGGGAGGACTGAGGTTATGTTTAGGAAACTGCTGGTATCCTGTTCTGGTTCATTCATCCACTCCAGAGGAATTCCCATAGTGACTATGAACTAGGTCCTTGGTCTAAACCATGGCTCCACCATGTAGCAGCTGTGTGACCTTGGGCAAATTATTTAACCCTCACCTCAATTTCCTCCTCTGTAAAATGGGACTGGCAATAGCTCTCCCCCCTTGTGGGATGGGTAAGAGGATGAAAATAAGATAATATCTTCAAAATGTTTTCATCCACAGCTCTCAGTGCATGGTAGCTGGAAAGTAAAGAACCAGGGGAACTAGAATCATCTTGGCCTCTCATTTTATTTATATGGAAAATGTCTTTTCTCACTTTTTTTGTCAATTAAGTTTACTGAGCCTAGAGGTTTCAGAGAAGCCAGGATGGAGGCACAGGGAAAGAGTGAAAGGTTCTGCATCGTATTTTCCCTGCACTCACTACCCCCAGCATACATGACATTAAAGCCAGTAATTCATTCACTGGGTGAAGGCTTAGGGAGAAGAATGTGGAATGTGACTGCGACAGGGAGGCGGTTCAGTTTCGTGTTAGGTGGCCTCTCCTCACACCTCTTTGTGCCAGTCTCGACTCAGATTCTTGCCTAGATCGTTCACTGGCTCTTGAATAGCAGCTCATTCACTACCCTGCTCCCCAGACCTGGAGGCCTGGTGCCCTGACTGGCCCTTCCCATGGCGGGGGGAGGGGGCTGCAATAATTTGTACGGCCTGGGACTGTTCTTTGGGGACAAAACTGAGAAATGTCTGGCCTTAGCTTTCTGCCCCCACAAAAGATTCAAATAGTTATTAATGAACTATGGCTTAAGCAGGATGGCAATGCTTGGGGTCTTATTTCTAACTGCTATCTAAGTTCAGGGTTGCAGAAAGCTGATGCCTGAATGGAGCGCTGCCTCTGGCTCCTATGCTTGGATGAAGGAGATTGAAACTGTTGACCTCACTCCCCATTATGGTCACTAACAGATGTGATCATGAAAATTTAACACTTGGGGGAAATAATACTAGATGACATGCAACAAAAATACATACGATACTTGCCTGCGGCACAGTATAGACATTATTTCATTTAATCCCCATGAGGGACTATGATTATAGTTCCACAACTCCATGAAGAAACAGCATTATAGAATTCAAACAAAATTCCGGGGCCTCCCAGCAGTCAATGACAGACCTGATACTCAAATGTTGGCCTGCCCATGTCCACCTCTAGCTATTCTGTTAGGGCAGATGAGTAGGAACTGGGAGCACTGAGAAGCCAGGGCTGTTGAGCCTTCTAACATCTTGGAAAAGGCTACAAACCCAACAGTCCCCTATTTCTCCCTAACACCTGATGTCACCGCTCTCTCTGCAGTGAATATGCTTGTGTTCGCCCTCCAGGAAAATTGCAGATCTTCTTAAGAGGAAGGGAGGGTGAGTGGAGACTAGGGCCACCCATGTGACACTCAAGGATGGCACTTAATTAAAGTATAGGAAACTGATCATTCCCTTGGGTCATGGCAGAGAATGTTAGAGATACTAAGAACTCTTAGAAATCCAGTTCCTTCATTTCCTAGGAAGCATAGCCCCAGGAAGTTAAAAGTATTTGTTCAAGGTTATACAGCCAGGTCATTGGGGAAAAAGCATACAAAAACAGTCACAGGCATGATTTCACCTGATTTTTCAGTAATCCCGTTACAAAGAGACGTCATTATTGTACCCATTTTATGCATTTGCTGCTGGACACATTCTGAAGCTCAGAGAAGCTAAGGAGCTTTTCCAAGGCCACACAGCTTATAATGGGATAGTTTGTCTTCTGATTTATCCAGTTCCCATAGCTTTTGGCCTCAACAGATGGGACAAGCACAAACCCTTGAGTTCCTTGACCACAGACTTCATTTCAAATCATTTGCCTCATGCTCCCCAAATAGTCATAGTCATACTTGTCAGACAATTGTACCCTACATTTGGGTTTGGACAGCCTGGTGGCTGCACTGAGGCTTTTAGGCTAGCTGTGTAGTGCCAAGCTGTGGCACTTGCTTTCAACCCCAATCTTGCCCATCCTTAAGCAGAAACACACAGACACACCAGTCAGCCCAGTACCTGGTCAGCGGGGATTTGGGGCACAGGCACCCTGGCCCCACCAGGCCAGCAGTGGTGAAGGGCCCCTGCAGGCCGTGTTGCAGTTCCTGAGAATCTTCTAGCTCAGCTGCTTGAAGTTTCTGGGTGGGCTCTGGATCCTTCCACCTTTCGAGACGCACAAGGTGAACACGTAACAGATGTCGGGAAGAAGCAAGTTCCAGGCAACCACCTTACAGGGCATCTAACCACAGCTATCAACGCTTCTCCAAAGCCTCCTCAGTGAGAAAGACCTTTGCGTCTTGGGGGGCCAAGGCCCAAACCTTTCCAAGCCCCTCTGAGGCCACTCAGCAATGTGGCACGCTAGATTCTGCGACACAGGGGCTCCCCTCTTCCTGTCTGGCCCCACCTCTCTCCCGCTGCCCCCAGGCTGGGCAAAATGGCTCACATTGCCCCAGTAAGAGCTGGCACTGCCTCCTCTGCCAGGTGGCCCCAGGGGAGGAGCCCAGCCACCCAGCCCCGAAGGCTCCCCCCTCTGGGTCACTGCTGATAACCTCTGAAAAGTTTCCCTGGCGGATGTGTTTCCACCAAGCTGCCATGCATGAGGGTGTAGGGATGTGATTGCCCTGGATGCTGGTGGGCAGGGTGGGCCCATCAGCCCTGCATGAGAACAGGTAGGAAAGGCCAGGTGATTGACCGGGGAGTTGGGGCATCACCTGTCATCTTGCAGCTCCCTGCTCAAGGACCCAGCTATTGACCAGTCACACCCCACCTTGATGGGCAGTGGGGCCTTCTGGCTGTTTGGTTTTCTGGATGGACTTGGTGTCTCAGAGAGCCAAGGAAGGAAAACTGGTGGTCAAGGAGGCCTTCCCTCTGTTCTCACCCATTCCCAGGCCCCCAAGACTGTGATATTAATGTTGCAAGAGATGGATGGAGTGTAACCACATGGGGCACAGTGCCAGGAATCTGGTTACCTGATCCCCCAGTGAGATGAGCCCCAAATGGCTCTGCTCCGCGTCTATCTCGACTTTCGCAGTCTGTGACCAGTGGTGGCTGCAGGGAGAAAGGCCTCTTTGTCTTTGGTCTGGCTGTCACCCCTTCCTGCCCATGAGAACACATTTCCCTTTAGTAATCTACTGAGTTTTATTTTTCCTCCGCAGTGCCCACCAGTGTGTTACTAAGCCTCTGAGAAAGTGGAATCAAGTGATTCTATAATCAGATACCTGGCTCCCGAGGCCTAACAGTGTTGTAATTTATAACCCACGTTTTAGCAGAGCACTTTCCTACGCTGTGCCTAGACTGTCCTTTCAGCCACCTGAGGGGTTGTCAGGAGAGAGGTTTTTCCCTCAGTATTCAGATGGGGAAACAGGATCAGCGAAGATCTGAGCTTCGAGATCAGTGGAATCAAAAGAGTGTCCAAGGTTCTCATTTCTGAGCTCTTCCTCCAGCGCTGAGCTGACTTTCTGATCTTGGGCTGTCCCACCAGGGTCTCTTCTGAACCTTCAGACCTCCCCTCCGCTGCCTGTCATCTGCAGAAAGTCCCTGGACACACTGCCTGTAATCATTTCTCATGTGTGATTCTCCATCATCTTTTTCTTCTTGCCTGCTGGCTGGATACAGAAATCCAAGGGGATGCTCACTCCATAGGATCTTTTCAGCTCTGTCTTCCATCCCCACCGTCCAGCCGGGAAGCTCCAGTTCCTGAACCTTTCCAGATTGAAGAACTTCACTGTATTCACGTCGGTGTCCACTGCAGGCATTTAGAGGTCAGCTTCTCCCTGCCGACTAGGTCAGGTACCACATCCGCATTTGTTGCTATGTTGACCTTTCCTATTCTGTGATCTCATCTCCTATTCTTTTGGTCTTTTCAATTATTTTACTGTGTTTTTGGATGGCATTTCCAGGAGTGGGGCAGAGACGAACACAGGCACAGTCCTTTATGATTAAACAGCAGTCATGTTTGACCACCTTCGAAATCGACACTGGAGATGCAAATTTTAAAATAACTTCATAAGTAGTGATTTTGCATTTATTAGTTTTTGTTTGGGATTTTTAAACACAAACTACACAAGTATAATTCATTTACCTTTAATAAACTGGATAATTAATTAAATAGGAAATTGAAGTTATACATAATGTGTTCTTATTTATTTATTTAAAAATATGTTTTAATGATTTTTTTTTTTTTTACAGAGAGGAAGGGAGAGGGAGAGAGAGAAATATCGGTCAGCTGCCTCCTGTATGCCCCCTACTGGAGATCGATTCCGCAACCCAGGCATGTGACCTGACTGGGAATCCAACCTGCCACTGCTTGGTGCATGGGACGGACGCCCAGCCAGCTGAGCCACATCGACTGGGTTGTGGATATCAGAAGGCAGCGCAGAGTCTGATAGGCCATGTCCTATTCATCTACACAAAACATCCCCTGAAGGGAGAGATCAGGTCTGTCTTTTGGGAACTTGAGGAACTCCTTTGTAACCAAATATGACCATGAGAGGGAGCCTAGACCTAGTGAGAGCGTAAAACCCTGGTGAGGTAAGGAGAACTGTACGAAGAGAACAGCAGAGCATAGATTTTCTTATTCAGTTTTTACTAATTTTACTAATCAAGAAAATATTATGCCTGGGAAACAGCATGTGTATTTCCTGAAATTCATGGACAAATCCATTAACTCTACAGCAGTTCTTGTGAAACAAATAGTTAAATTTACTACCACCAGTAATAATTATAAGTATTTATGTTGATTTTGATAACATTCGTTATAACTAATAAAATATTTAAGAATAATAACTTAATTATCAGTAGTAATAATATCAGTCTTCTGTTTCTTGCAGAGCAGGAGAGACATGTGTATGTAGCAGGCTGTGTCTGGGGACACCAGGAGAATTGTGATGTGCTTTTTGGTGGAGACAAGAGGTGAACCTGAGGAGCGGAGCCACCCCAGGTGCAGGCTCCTTCCCCGATCCCCGTGGATCTCAGAGAAGCGGTGGCTGGGCTCTAGCACTTAGCAAAGACTCTGCATGGACTGGGGACCTGCTCATTTTTGCTTAGTCCTTATTATCTTTGTGATGAGCAGAGTTTAGCTCTTTACACTAAGTGAATGGGCAGGTAATGGGCAGATAAGGCAGCAGAAAGAGGGCACTGAAAAGCTTGGAAGACAGCAGCTTTCAGGACAGCGCAGCACATAGGAACCACCGAGTTATGCTCTATTGTTTGCCACCTACTATTCCTGTTCCAAAAGAAGACTAGGAACCCAGTTCCTCTGACACGTAGAGAAGGTGGGTCATACCTGATGATGTGCGTTAATCCAAGTGATTTCCCTTCACCTGGTCCGGAGTCCTCATCATAGGCAAGTCAGGGAGTATTCCTCCTTGATTAGGAAGCTGGTAAACTGAGTGGCTGTCCCCACACTCTGACTCCTGGGCTCCTTCAGGGGCCCCAAGTCAGGCTGAGAATGCAGTACACTCCTTCCTCAGCAAAACCCAATGCTGCATGGACTTTTGCTCCCCGAGTCACCTACGGTGATCTGACAGCTCCACCGGCTGGCTTGGCTGAAATTCCATCTGGAGCCCTTATGTTCATTTGTGCATTGGTTCCTTGACCAGACGTTGGTGTCCTTTGTCAGGTTCAAGATGCAACTTTGTGGTGATAGAAGCAGTACTTGGGCAATGAACTTACACAAATATGAAAATATTCTTAATAAGAAATACTTTTTTAAAAGCCAAGTTCTTACTGGAAATTTTAAATTAGCAGATTTGGAGATTTTTTAATTTTATTTATTTTTTTAGTAATAGACATGATCTGGCTGCCATCATTAAAGTTAGGGTAGGCAAGAGAAAGAGAGATTTGGAAATGGAGGGGGGATACTTTTCTTAAACTCAACTTAAACTCAATTAGGTAAACATAGTATCATTGAAGAGAAGAGCCCTGGCCTAGGAGAAGAAAGCTGGATGACCTCAGGGAAGAATTGTCAGATTCCAGCCCAAGCCCTTCTTTCTCCTGGAAGCCTCTTTTTCTCACTGCCCTCCCTTGTCTGGATGGTCCCCTGCCTGGGCCCAGAAGCTCTCTCCCCACCTCGCAGGCAAAATGTCTATTCTTTACCTAGGTCTCAGTTTATAGATTTTCCTTCCTCTGGAGGCTTTCCTGACCTATCCCGCCACATGCTCCCGCCAACTATTTCTCCTCAGGTGATCTAGCCCCTGAGAGCAGGGATGGGTCTTGTATGTTAAGCCTCTAACACAGTGCCCACTCAATGGTGAGTGCTCACTATAGAACTACAGGTTGAAAACAATGACTGCTCAAGCCCTTGCTCACCTTACTTTGCCCTACAATCTTATTTCACTTACTGTTCTGTTCCTACCCCCCAGGGCAGTATTGTTTCCATATTTTTCAATGTGTGTATTTCTTATGAATTCAAGTAAATTATAAGCTACTGATGATTGGGCACCAATTTTATTCCTCCCTGAATTCTCCCAGCCATCAAGCATAGAACTGAAAACCTAATGGGGGGGGAGGGGGTTATAAATACTTTCTGGTCTATTTAGTGAATGGATAAGACTCTGTTCAAAATAATCAAGACTTTCTTTCTCGTTTCTCCCCACCCTCCTCCACAGTCTGTGACTTACTCCCTTCTCCCCTTGGTTCTACCCTTCCTTGGCCCTGGATCACTCAGCCAAAAGAGGGAAAAGATAGAGCCCATAATTAAGCTTACTCACAAGTGTCTTCACAAAAAATCTTTGGGACTTTAAAAAGCCAGTTTAAATCTCCCAGAATCCCTTACAAGGGTCCTGAGGCTCAGCAGTTACCCTCTTAATTCTGAGTGATAGAACCAAGCTAGCAGGTTGGTTATGAGAGCCCTTTGCCTCAGTTTTCCCATATGTGTAATGGGGTTAATAACACCTGCCTCTTACCGTCTACACAAGAACATGGTGAGATAATGTCATAACATGCACTGCAGTCCTCAGATGAAAGGTGCCCCATAAATACCAAATGCTATTAAAAGCCCTTGACCTGTGGAAGATCATGGAGGCTTTATTGCTTATGGCGTTCACAGCAAGATGGATGAAAAGGACTTCTTGGCGCTGGGACCTGGCAGCTGCCCATGAGAATCAAGATCTGTACATGAAGCAAGGGCCTGGAAGCAATTTGGCAGTGATCCCAGAATGCTTTAAAATTTAAAAAATGAACTTCTAAAATAACCAACTATGGTTAATAAATCAAAGTATAAAAACTCTGGTAATACAAGTTTCTTGTTTCATTCTTTTCTAATTCCTGCCCTTTTCCTCAGGGCAGCCAGTTGTAATCTTCTTACTGTTTCTTTTGGTGTTAACCTCCTGTATCTAAATAAAATGCTTATACTCCTGTTTTCTTATTGATCAGTTTTAGAAATTAGTTATTGAATTTCTGCTACTGATCTATTATGATTTTATCATCCCCTATCCCCTTTCCCTCTCTCTTTTAATTTAGTTATATCACTATTCTATTCCTTTTATCACTTTCCTTTGAAACTTTGTTATAAATATACCACTCTATTTCTTGTTCAGCTATAGACATTTTTTACTTTATACCTTGAAAAATGGGAACATTTACATCTTTAACCATTTCTTACAACTCTCTTTTCTTCCTTCTACCTCCCAACTTCTATCATTTGAATTTCCACACTGTCAATAATATTTCCATTGATAATATTTCCATTCTGTCCTGAAACCATAATGGTATTCTGTGCTTTGTCTATGGGTTTAGTTTCAGACCTAAAGTTCATTTTAATTGTTTAGTGTAGAACCCTATTTTACACTATGATTATATTTTCTCTCTGGTAGAGCTTTGGGTTTTTTTAAAGTCTCTAACTCCTTTCTTTTTCTGGCACTGTTTTTTTTATTATACCCTTAATTTAGTCTCAGATTTTTTATCAAAATTGGCATTCTGTTAAATACCCTTCATCCATTTCCCTGAGATGCCCATCTCCTGGGGCTCTCCACCCTCCCACTGACTGTTCTCTAGATGCTGCACAGTCACCACTTTGGGACTTCCTCACTCTTTCAGGTTTTTGAAGCCCACAGTTTCCTTGTTCTTGGTTTACTCTTTTGTTTTGTTGGGGCATATCCTCAATAGTTTCCCCCAAAAGGAATAATAAAAATAAATGCTTAGTTTTGAATGCCTAGAAATGTTTTAAATTCTGCCCTCAATATAAGTAATAGTTTGTCTGGATAAAGAATTCAAGGTTGGAAATAGTATTTTCCTAGAGCTTTGAAGGCCTTTTCCACTGTCTTTTAATTCCCAGCATTGTTGAAGAGAAGTTTGGTGCCAAACTAGTTCTTGTTCTTTTGTCAGGAACCTGTTTTCTTCACCATAAAATCTCATAGTCTTCCCTTTTCTTTATCATGCTGAACTTCCACAATGATGTGTCTGGATGAGGGCCTGTGCTGTGATTTGGCAGGTCCTTTCAATTTAGAAGTGCTTATCTTTAATCTCTGTTAAGTTTTTCATACAGCTTCTTTGATATATTTTTTTCTCTTTGTTTTTCTGAACTCTTCACTCTTATTGGNGTCTGGATGAGGGCCTGTGCTGTGATTTGGCAGGTCCTTTCAATTTAGAAATGCTTATCTTTTATCTCTGTTAAGTTTTTCATACAGCTTCTTTGATATATTTTTTTTCTCTTTGTTTTTCTGAACTCTTCACTCTTATTGTTTATCATGGGCTAAGTGTGTGTCTCAAAATTCACATGTTAAAGCCCTAATTACTAGTACTTCCAAATGCTACT